GCTTCTTTGTCAAAAATCAGTTGTTCATAGGTATGTGGATTAATATCTGGGTTTTCAATTCGATTCCATTAGTCTTCCTGTCTATTTTTGTGCCAATACCAAGGTGTTTTCAGGACTATAGCTCTATCATAGAGCTTGAAGTCAGGGATGATGATGCTTCTGAATATTCCTTTATTGTACAGGGTTGTTTTGGCTATCCTGGGTTTCTTTTTTTCCCATATAAAGTTGAGTATTGTTCTTTCAAGGTCTGTGATGAATTGTGCTGTTATTTTGATGGGGATTGCATTGAATCTATAAATTGCTTTTGGTAAGATTGCCATTTTTACTACTTTGATCCTACCTATCCAAGCGCATGGGAGATCTTTCCATTTTCATGTATCTTCTTTAATTTCTTTCTTTAAAGACTCAATTCTTATGATACAGGTCTTTAACTTGTTTGGTTAAAGTTACCCAAGATATTTTATGTTGTTTGTGGCTATTGTAAAGGGTAATGTTTCTCTGATTTCTTTCTCAGTCCATTTATCCTCTGTATATAGTAGCACTACTGATTTTTTTGAGTTAATCTTGTGTCCTGACACTTTGCTGAAAGTGTTTATCAGCTGTAGGAGTTCCCTGGCAGAGTTTTTTGGATCACTTATGTAGACTATCATATAATCTGCAAATAGTGAAAGGTTGACTTATTCCTATCCAATTTGTATCCCCTTGATCTCCTTATGTTGTCTTATTGGTCTAGCTAGAACTTCAAGTATAATATTGATGAGATATGGAAAGAGTGGACAGCCTTGTCTTGTTCCTGATTTTAGAGGAATAGCTTTGAGTTTCTCTCCATTTAGTTTGATGTTGGCTGTTTGTTTGCTGTATATTGTTTTTATTATGTTGAGGTATGCTCCTGTTATCCCTGATTTCTCCAAGACCTTTATCATGAAGTGGTGTTGGATTTTGTCAAAGGTTTTTCAGCATCTAATGAGATGATCATATATGTGGCTTTTCTTTTTCAGTTTGTTTATATGGTGGTTTACACTGATGGATTTTGGTATGTTAAGCCATGCCTTCATGCCTGGGATGAAGCCTACTTGACCATGGTAGGTGATTTTTCTGATGTGTTCTTGGATTCAATTTGCCAGTATTTTATTGAGTATTTTTGCATGAATGTTCATGAGGGATATTGGGCTGTAATTCTCTTTCTTAGTTGGGTCTTTGTGTGGCTTGGGTATCAAGGTGATTGTAGCCTCATAAAAAGAGTTTGGCAATGACCCTTCTGTTTCTATTGTGTGGAACACTTTGAAGAGTATTGTATTAGCTCTGGTTTGAATTTCTGGTAGAATTCTGCACTGAAACCATCTGGCCCTGGGCTTTTTTTTTGGCTGGAAGACTTTTGATGACTGCCTCTATTTCATTAGGGGTTATAGGTCTATTTAAATTGCTTGTCTATTCTTGATTTAATTTTGGTAAGTGATATCTATCCAGAAAATTGTCCATTTCCTTTAAATTTTTCAATTTTGTGGAGTACAGGTTTTCAAAGTATGACCTGATGATTTCTCTGGATATCTTTGGTGTCCGTTGTTACGTCCTCTTTTTCATTTCTGATTTTATCAATTTATATATTCTCACTGCCTTTTGGTTAGTTTAGAGAAAGGTTTGTCTATCGTGTTGATTTTCTCAAAGAATCAACTCTTTGTTTCATTGATTCGTTGTATTATTTTCTTTGTTTCTACTTTGTTGATTTCAGCCCTCAATTTGATTATTTCCTGGGGTCTACTCCTCCAGGCTGAAGAAAAATCCTTACCAAGCTTTCCTCCTTATTGTTTAAGTCACTTAGGGTTGGACCTTCTGTTAGAGCACTCCAACTTCTACACCTGTCAACAATACTTACATCTCACTTAACAGTTTTAATTTTCCTTAATGTCCTGCTGTTGTATGAAAATTTTTAAATAAAAATGTCTGGTAGAATAATGCAATTTTTTTTGGTTTTTTGAGACAGGGTTTCTCTGTGTAGCTTTGGAGCCTATCCTGGCACTCGCTCTAGAGACCAGGCTGGCCTCGAACTCACAGAGATCCTCCTGCCTCTGCCTCCCGAGTGCTGGGATTAATGCCTAGCGAATAATGCAATATTTACTAGTGAGAAAAAATATAATGTGTTCTATCTCAACTCAAGGCATCTCTGATGGTTTGAATGAGAATATCCCCCAAATGAGTATGTGTTTGAACATTTGTCCCCCTTTGGTCTGTTGCGGAGGCTAAGAATCTCTAGGTGAAGTGCAGCACTGGGGGTGTCTATAGACTGCTCCTCTTCTGGTGTGAAGATGATGTGATTGGCCACTCCCCACCCCTTTTCTTCTCCTATGGAACTGTAAACTGATACACATCCTTTTTTGTCTGGGTATTTGCATTGGTTACTTTTCTATTGCTGTAATAAAACACAGAGCCAAGCAGTTGACAGGTGAAAGTGTTTCTATGAAGCTTATAGCTACAGAGGGTTAAGACTCTCCAAGTTCAAATAGGAAGCAGAGAGAGAGAGAGAGAGAGAGAGAGAGGAGAGAGAGAGAGAGGATGGTGGCAGGCTTTTCAACCTCCAAGCAGCTCCTGGTGATCCACTCCCTCCATCAAAGATACACCTGCTTAGTCTCCCCAAAGCACAGGAAATGGGGACCAAGTATTCAAATGTCCCAGAATATAAGGGACATCTCATTCAAACCCTCACAGCATTTTATCACAACCGAAATGTAACTAATATGGCATTCACATAATTTCAGTTGAAAAATATGTTAACCAAACAAGCTCCGGTAACAGGTATGTTAGCAAATAACACACCCTGCCCAAACAGTGTACAATAATGGTTATCTCTACAAAAGCAACAACAGTGTTAAGTGAACCAGAGATTCAGATGCAGGTAGGCTAGGGGCTCACTCAGGGGAAGATTCTGAAACATGGAAAATTTCATTATGAATGACCTCAAGATTGGCACCTAGTGAAAAAGGAAGAGAAGAAGCAAGCTGAGTGGAGTGGTCTCAGTGATGTCCTTACCACCACCATTAGTAGCTCTAGCATTGAGACAGTGCTTCCAAATCATACTAAAGAGAAGAAGACAGAGACAGTAGAACTCTGCAAGCTCTTGTTTCAGGTCCTAGGGATATGGCAATTCCTTGGTCAAGTTTATTGTCTTAAACTTAAGGTGATTCACAAAGAGGTCCACCTACCCACAAAGAAGATCAGTGGCTTGCTTTTCCCAATACTAAGCCCTAATTCCTCCATGTCTAAGGGACAGGGTCATATTCCTCTGGGCCTTACAGAACTTCACATTTGGGAGCAGGTCATGAGGCCAGGCAGCTGACTCACACACCAGAATTCAGTATCTGACCCACACAACCCCCAGTTAAGGCCTTTGTTTCTGTGACATCCTGATCAAGGCGAAGCTGAGCTTGGGAACACGTGGGAACATCAGCACGGACAGGCTACCTCTCCTACTGTGGGGTTTATCCATAAGACATGAAATTCAAGCCTGTTCCAATTTCCATTCTTGGCCTGGATAGTGTTGTGTTGAGGGAACTGGTGAGCAGGCTTTTACCTGAGACATTGTCTACAGAGTGCTTCACTGAGGCAATGAGAAAAAAAAGTTCTTATGCAGTAGGAAGGGACTGGTTGATAACTTCGGTAGATCCTCAGGGGTTGTTACTGTAATTACCACTGAATACTGAAGATGCAAGTAGGTTTGTGTATGATCTAAAAAAAAAAAAACCTTTTAATTTTAAGGTAATTAAATTTTGTTAAAAATTTCTTAGCTGTTCCTAAATAATGGTTTGCTCACATATTGGTGGTACTGAAAGTATATAGTGGAGCACTCAAGTTTAGTGCCGTGAGCACAGCCACTGTGTAGTGCCCTGAGCACAGTTACCAATGGTGGCGTGAGCATAGTCACCACAGTGCTGTGGGCATAGTCACTGTAGTGGTGAGCTCAGTCACTATAGTGCTGTGAGCACAGTCAGTAACTGCAGTGCCATGAACACAGTCACTGCAGTGTGTGAGCACAGTCACTGTAGAGCTAGCAGCACAACACAAAGGCCATTGGCTGTTTGGAGAACTGTTACCCTTTGGGACTGTTTTTGTTTGCATCTTTTTGTGAGGTAGAGTTGTATTGTACTCAAGTCTGACCTTGAACTCCCAGTGTTGGAATTCTTTGTGTGCACCAAACCACTATACCCTGATACTCTGTACAATGTAAAAGGGATTTACTTATTTTTATTTCATGTGTTTGGATGTTTTGCCTGCATGTACATCTGGTGCCCACAGAGGCCAGAAGAAAGCACTGGATGCCCCGGAACTGGAGTCATGAACATATGAACCTCCATGTGGGTGCTGGGAACTGATCCTGGGTCCTCTGGAAGAGCAGGCAGTGCTTTTAACTGTACAGCCATTTCTTTGGCCTCTGTGACTCTTAAGCAGCAACATATTCAAATATAGCATCATTACTTTCAGCTATCACAAACCCCATATCCTTAAATGACATTATTGTTGTGTGTGTACACATGTGTGTATGTGCATGTGGACTAGAAGCTAGAATTGTGTGGCTTTCTTGATCACTTTTCCACCTTATTTTTGAGTGAGGTCTTTTGGTGTACCAAGAGCTCACCATTTGAGAACCCACAATTTGCTTATCTCCATCCATCCAGATGTAGATCATAAAAGCCCCTCCATGACTGAATACTATGTGGAGCTGAACATCTGGACTTAGCCTCCCATACTCACACAATAGCACTGTTCACATTGCATCATCTCCCCACCCCTAAATCACACCATGTCGATACTGAACATTGTAAGGCTGCTAGGAGAACCTAAGGAGATCGATCATATGGAAACATAGATCAAATGGGAGCTTCCATTGGTAATGGAAGAGGGATAGCTACCCAAGTACATGAGGACTGGAGTCTAGATACTGGAGAAGATAAGGAGTGAAGGCTGCAAAGGGAGAATTTGTATAACTGCCCATCCCCAATAGATCCTACCTTCCTTTCAAAAGTCTTAGCCAAGCCCATTGGAAGCTATCTCCATCTCATCCGGACTGCAGTGCCTCTGAGCTGTGACCTAAAAGGGAAGACATGTAAAAGCCAAATTAAGTGGCATAAAAGAACCCCCCATCCTGGTCCTATGGTTGTCTGGTGAGCTGTTTCCATACCATGTGTACACAAACAGCTCTTCTTGGGTGGTGGCTTAATGTCTATACCTTCCATTGCAATTACACAGAATGGAGCCGCAACGCAACAAATCTTCATAATGCCAATCCCATCTTTCCACCTCATTGACAGCTCGGGAAATGCATCTGGAATTCATAGTAGCCTCATAGCCTATGGCAAGAGAAATCCATGCTGCTAAAATTTTATTTTAGAATTCAAGCTGGTTTCCCCTCCGTTTCGAATGCCCTGATTTTTAAGCTTTTGCTGCCTGCCACACTGTATCAAAATAACCGGCCAATATTGTTCAACTGTCAGGGGCCTCAGCTGCCTCTGAATTTCATCAGTGCAAATAAATCCTGGAGCATGTTAACAAAAATAATCCCAATAGATAGGAGCTAACATTAATAGAATTAAGAGCCAACCCTGAAGGGAGGCAGGAGGCATATAAACTTTGACTCGAATGCCTCCCCTTTCTTTGCTGTTTTGTTTTTTTTGTTTTTAAAGAAGGCTGAATTCAGACTGAATAAATGTTTAGGCTGACAGGGATACTAGGCTGGGTCCCAAATTTGTGCAATGTTCAAAGAGAGAGAGGGAGAGATTTTAAAATCCTAGAAAAAAGAGATATTTCCAAATTAATGGCATTGCCCGAATGCCTTGGCTCCCTGCACCCCACCAGGAAGGTTTATTATTTTCTGGTAGAATGTTGCTCGGATGGGGAGTGGTAGTCAGCGATGCGTCAGAGCTGCTCTTTGAACACATTAAAAAGCTGAATGCACAACAAAGAACAGATGTTCCAGCATGCCTTATTTATGCACCCATCAGCAATCTTCCAGTGACCACGCAGCACTGCCTTCCCTCCTCCCCATATTATTTTCTGATAAACTCACCCTCTTTATTAATTTATTTTTTTGGCCTCAACTAAACCCCTGGGTAATTGCCTATGTGTGTGTGCACAACTGTACGTGTGTGTGTGTGTGTGTGTGTGTGTGTGTGTGTGTGATTTGAAAGTCTGCCTCCGTGAAAGCTGAATTCTATTGAACTGTGGAACAGGTGTGGATTCTGCAATTAGATCACATTTCAGAGAGAGAGACAGAGGGTAATAATGGCGGTGAATTTTTCATAGTCGAATGCAGCGCCATAGCGACCGGCAACAATGAAGAAGAAGAGGTATTAGTATTAGGGGTGATTATTTTGAGTTTATGGGATCATCTGATTGAATGTGGCCAGAAGGCACTGTGAGCGCGTTGTCGCGTTGTCTGAGGCTCGCCAGCTGTAAGGCAAACTTGTTTTACTGGCACTTGTCTGAAACATCCCACTCGCCCGCTCACTGCTCACAATTGGAATAGAAACAGTGATTAGGAAATGGGATATAATGCAGATTAAATGTTATGATGACCAAGATCCCGTTGGGTTATTAAAACCCATTTGCTGTCTCTGGTTTTAAAGGCATAGCACCTTTATTTAACCTCTGGCTGCAGATCTCTGAGCTCTAAAGGTGGGAGGTGAAGGATTGAAGATGAGGAGGGTGAAGTGGAGAAAAAATTAGAATCTAAAGAGCAGCAGGATTTCCTCTTTCTGTACAAGGAAGCTGCATTTTTCATAAGTGAATCTGAGCTGTGACCTCCATTCGAGCTTCAGAAAACCATGATGCACAGAAATGGAAAATCCTCACCCCCACAAACTGATTTCATAGACCCAAACCAAACAGTGCAACCAATTTTCACAATGATATCTGGCCAGTCTGGGGACTTCTAGACCTAAGAGTCATTTCCTCAGTATAGTTTATTTATCTTCCATGAAGTAGGGAATATTTGGAACCTGACTCACTGGTGTAAAATCGGCCCTTGGGAGAGGTCCAGCTGTAACCCGGCGTCTCAGATCAGTGCTGTGGGCTGGCGGCAGCTGCTGTCCACGAAAAGTAAAGAGAGCAAGGAAGGGAAAGCAGAGACCCAGGGTGAAGTCACCGGCACTCACTAGACAGGCTGAGGAGCCGAGCTCCGAAAAAATAGATGAGGATAGCTCGGTGAAGCCAAGATTCCCCTCCTGGCACAGGCTCAGGGCTTACAACGAGGGCTCTCATTCCTTGTGATGCAGCCATGCTTCTGGGTAGTTCATGGTGCCTACCAGATTGTGGGGTTCAGAGACAGAGCCAGCATGGTTCTGAGGCTGGAATTCATTGGAATTCATGTCCAGAAGCCAAAATGAGCTCTTCTAGTGAAATGTGTGAATGATGAGTTCTGGGGTCTACAATGCCACTTCACATTGAGAAATGTGTTACTAGGTCAGCCTAGAAGTGGTGAGAGAGAGAGAGAGAGAATAGGGAGAGATAACCATCGAATCTAATCCCAGTTGAAAGCTATGGCTTTTCAACCACTGACTAATGAATGCATCAGCTACCTATCACATTCTATCAAACACTGTCATTTCTTTCACCATTAGGCCAAGAGGTTCCTGGTTCCTATCTCTTTAATTACCTGAATTTACCTCCTCAACCCCAGTAAACCATATTCCCTCTCATCAAGCTTTCTGTGGAATATAGTGTTGGTTTTCCAAACACAAGCGGTACAGCCTTCTACAAACAAGATGGAAGCTAATAGATGAGGATTTGGGTTCAGACATGGAGTGGGCTCTGAAGAGCCATGAGTGCTCAGAGGCCACTCTGGTGTGGCATTCATGCTGCCTGTGATGCAGGCATGGCATGATGGCACATGAAGACATACTTTTCAGAACAAAGAGAGACTGATTACTGGGGCCTCTCTACAAGTTCCTCCTAGACTGGAGGTAGCAGGCCACAGAATCTCCAAGTTTCCCCTTAGAAGACCCCTCTGAGAGTTTGTCTCCATGAAGTCCTGCATTTACCTGAGGAGTCCTGGTGGTCACTCTATGTGACAGTTGAAGTCATAGACTCCATGTAGTTTCTTCCCCTCTGTGGAACAAAAGCTTCCAACGAGATGTGACTCTTCATTTTCCTGACCTAAACCTTCTTTCATTTTAAGCCATGTCCAAGGTGTCAAGTTAGAAATTTTTATGCAGCCCTGGCGTTTCTACACAACTACAGCTCGTGCTGGGTCCTGATCAACCACAATGTTGAGTTAGTTTACATGGGAATCTTTGAATATACGTCCCTTTTATTACATGTATCTATTCACTTATTTGTGCATGTGCGTGCGTGCATGCGTGTGTGTGTGTGTGTGTGTGTGTGTGTGTGTTCATGCGCATGAGTGCACATCTGTTCTCGTGCATGTATGCATGGCATGTGTGTGGATATCAGAGGAAAGCTTGTAGGAGCCAATTCTCTCCTTTCATGATGTGTGTACTGGTGATGAAGCTCAGGCCAGAGGTACAGTGACAGTGCCTTTAGTCATTGAGCTACCTTGTGATCTGAATGTACTTTCTTTTGTTTTGCAGGCAGACTTGTATAAAAAAATACACTCCAAATGAAATGCAGTCTAATCCTCCCCATGCCAGCTCTGGAAGTGTCTTTCTCAGCTGAAGCAATGGGGGAGAAATGGCAGTATTAGTTATCGTTATTGACGTGGTGACGACTCCTCTGCAGATGTTACAATGTCAATGTTTTGTGGTTAATTTGCATCACAGTTTTATCATGCACTGATACACCTTGCCATTTAGTCATTTGAGTGAACGCTGACAAGAGGCCTGAGAGCCTGGGAGGCAGAAGACAGGAGGAGCTGTTGCCCGCAAGCTGTGGAAATGAAGAAGTCACCCCACAGCATCTTAATGGAGAGCTTAGCATCATGGGACCAAGTGATCCAAACAGAGTGTGCATCACAACCTAAGAATCATAATTCAGGCTTTGATAACCAGTGTGGTGATGAATCAAGAGTGGAATTAGCTTGGAGTGACATGTTTTGCTGGGAAAGAAATGTATGTAGAGAAGAATAAGAGATTTTACTAAAAGCAAAGAAACACCATTTTTTAAAGATAAAACTTAAGTAAATGTACTCAGCCTCCAAAAATATCAAAGACATGATGATAATAAAGTGGGAAGGCATGACTCCAACACCAATTTCATGCATAGCAAAGAAAGTGATCATGACAGGCAGATATCTCACAAATGGATCAAATTGGAATTTCTGAATGTCATCCTGCATACTGTTTCCTTCCCCTCAAGTATGGAGAAACTCAAGCTTCAGTGTGTTTCACATTATGCTGAACCACCAACCAAATGCAAAATGCCAATAGCATGATGGGGCTGGAGTGATGGTGGCTCATGGCCCGAGTTCAGTTCCTAGCCCCCAATCCATACCCAGCAGCTCAGAAACCTCTGAGACTCCAGCTCCAGGGAACCCAGTGCCTCTCCTGATCTCCATAGGCACTGAATTCACATGCAAAAGTCACCTCCACCACTCCCTACTACCAGAAACATACACATGCACATGATGAAGGGTGTCCTTCTGTATATATGTTTCTCTTATTGGCTGATAAGTAAAACACTGTTTGGCCAATAGAGGCAGGAAGATAGGTGGGGCTAGGAGATGAGGAGAATACAGGGAAAGGTAGGCAGAGAGGCACCGAGAGGAGACGCCATGGAGGGCCTGGGAGGATAGTATGCACCAGACATTCTCTGGTTAGATAAGGCCATGTAGGAATACATAGATTAGTGGTTGTGTGTTAATAATTAAGACAGAGCTAGCCAATAAGAAGTCCTAGCCATCAGCCAACAGTCTCTGTGTGCTTATTTGGAGCTGAGAAGGGCAGAGGGACCTGGTAGGACAAGAAACTCCAGTAACACACACCCTATTCATAATTTAAAATATACAATAAAATCTTTAAAAAAACCAATAACATTGCAATTAGACTTTGACCCCAAATTCTTAAATTATACTCAACTATTTCATGTGTAAAAGCTGATATGAAATAAACAAAGTAAGTGGTTAAGACATTTGGTCAAAGGGTATGTAAATAAACACATGTCTCTTCTGGTTTGAAGTGTATTTAACAAACCATATTGGTGACATCATGGCAGAATGTTGACCTTGGACTATGTACTGACCACTATCACTACAGACCTTGTTCTTTAAAAAAATGGCAATATTGTTGTTAAGGAGTTATTTTTCTTTTAAAATATATGTTGGAGAAAAAATGGGAAATTTCTATATTAATGACATGCTAATGACATCGTGAAAATAAAATGGTGATGGCATATCCACTGTGGGAATAATATGCCCACAGGCTAACAAAAGCACTTTACCTAGCTAACTTAGAAGGATATTCTATAGCTGTATTGGAAGTGATCAAGTCAGCTCATCTGCAAATAAACAACACAACATTTTCTTTTATGGACCTGAAGAGGGAAGATGCTAATTGCTCACCTACAATCCACCTAAAAGACTGATGAAAATATATCTACAATAAAATAAAATATAATTTCAAGTGCCTGCACGATACTCATTTTGGTGAGTCATCCCAAAAGGCTTTTTAAGAAGAAAATGGAGTTTGGATTCTATATTTGCCATGAATCTACTGAAGTTTGGGACAGCTACCTGGTTCCTAAGTTTGCTCCCAGCAGAAAGAGTCAACACCAGTTACTTTAGTGAAGTGTGGACAGGTGTGAGTTAAAGACCTTTGGGATTGTAATGATAAAAGGGTTTCCCTTCATGGAATACCATTATTATTAATATTATTATTGCCATCATCATTATTTATGCTCCTAGCACACGTTTTATGAAAATGTGTTATTCATATAACCGCGGTGCCCTCACCATGTCATTTGCAAAATCACCATGTTCCTCTCACAGAAATGTCACTGAAATGTCACTTTTACAATAGCTGCATCATGAATCTGCTATAACTTGAATTGCTTTACAATGAAAATGCAATTTCTTAGCAATTAAAATTATTCTACCCACCCCAGTCAAATAATCGAAAGTCGACTACCTGTACAATGTTGCTCATAGTGCACTGCAGAATTCGGAAAACTGAACAGATTCGACGTCAAGGGGGCAGGTAATGTTTCCACTCCACACCACAGATTGTCCACTACCACCTGTACTGTCTAAGCCTGGGTGTGATGTCTGTCACATATTGTCAAAATTCTTAGAAGACTAGAGCCTGCCCTCATTCAAGTTCTTGTTAAGCTCAGCCAACATTCATCTAAGGAACTTCAGGACTGCAGGGATATTTGTGGCAATAACAACGAAGTCCTTAAGAAACCAATGCCAGATTAACATGTGAAGAAAATATTGTTAGAAATTCAAGTTATTGTCATTACGTTTACTCAAATCTCCTCCTTGTAATTAGAGGTTTTCCCCCTTCTAAACATGGCCTCCTGACCTTCAGTGGCATCATCATTGACAAGAATGTGCTCCCAGGGACAATGTGACAGATGCAGGGTCATTTAAAGACTCATTCATTGTTTTTAAGGAGAATCACACATGGAGACTTAGTATGGACAATAATGTAATGCGGGGTAGTAAAGGTAGTTTGAAATGAGAATATGAGCCCAGATATGTGCAAATAAAATACATGAATTTATAAAAATACCTAATCAGAGAGAAAAACAAAACGAGAAGGATTTGCCATGGTATAGGCATAAATGTAACCAGTAAAGAAAATGAATGTAGGCAGCATGGCCTCTGGCTTCCCTTTCCTTCCCCCATCGATTCAAGCAGGTGTGGTTGGCACATCCCTTCAGACCAGGGCAGGTGGTGAGCATGTGGAAGCCAAACAGTCAAGGCTGTGATTCAGATAGCCAGAGAATCTAGAAAAATCAGGCAGCCTTTAGGAATGACGTCTGCTCTAAGTGTGTGCTGCTTGGAAGCACACCCAACTCCTACTCAAACAGTCGACAAACTGCTTTTTCACTGAAGACAGAGTCCTCAGAGGCAAGCAGGTGACCAGAAAAGTGAGCAGCCAGTCAAAGCCTCCTGTAGACCAGGAAGATAGCTCAGTGGTGAAGAGGGC